TTGTACAAGCTCAAAATGGAGCTGCTGTTGTGCCTTCCCATATTGGTACAATCACCTCCTTAAACCTGTGCATATGACCTCCTTAAACCTGTGCATATCCCATTCTACACATACCAGTGCCTCAGGTCCTGACTCTATTATTGTTCCACATGTACCCATGTCTCACACACAATAACAATATTGCACTAGAGGTCCCTGTACCCTGAGTACAAGTGCCACCATCTTTCAGGACCCCAAAACTTCAGTACCACCACATTCACCCACACTCCAGACCCTGGCTCCTTGATAGACACCATGCATGAAAAACCAGTGCTGCCATCACAGTGACCACACTTTAAGTTACCACTTAAAGTAAAAAAAAGGTAAAAAAAAAAAAAAAAAGAAAAAAAGAAAAAAGATAGTAAGGAAAGTCAATGTGATTTACAGGCTACCACCATGCAACGTTGTATGCATTATGGAAATAACAGAAGGATAATAGAGAAAGAAAGAAGAAAAGAGATTATTTAAATTAATAATGGTTAAAAATCTTCCCAAAGTCTGGGAGAGATAAGGACAATTACATGCATAAATCTTAAAGATTCCAAAACAAGTTAAACCCAAAGAGGTCTTAGTGAAACATGTGTAATCAAATTTTCAAAAAATCAAAGAGCAAGAGAAAATTTTGGAAACAGCAAGAGAAAAGAAATTTGTCACATACAAGAGAATTCCTATATGGCTATCAATGGATTTCCTAGTAGAAATCTTGTAGACCAGAAAAGAGTGGGATGGCATATTTAAAGTGCTAAAATAAAAAAAAAAGGAAAAATAGTAATCTCAACCAAGAATACTATACCCACCACAGCTGTCCTTCAGAAATAAAAAAAAGAAGGACTTTTCCAGATATACAAAAACTAAACAGTTCTTCATCACCACTAGGACTGCCTTATAAGGAAAGCTAAAGGGAGTTTTTTGTTGGTTTGTTGGTTTGTTTTTAAGCTGCAATGAAAGAGCGAGTATTAATGACAGAAAATATAAAAGTATAAAAGTCACAGGTAAAGGTAAGAATATAATTATATTCAAAATCTTCTAATACTGTATTGGTAATCTAAATCTTTAACTCTGGTATAAATCTTAAAAAAGTGTTAAAAATAACTATAGATACAATTTGTTAATGAATATACAATATATCAAGTTGCAAAATATAATATCAAAAGATATAAAATGTAGAGAGAGAGGAAAGTAAAATGGCAGAATTTTTGTATGTAATTGAAATCAAGTGGTTATCTGCTTAAATAGACTTTAAAAATTTTAAAATGTTTTATGCAACTGTCATGGTAAAAACAAAGCAAAAGTCTATGGTAAATACACAATGATGCCTAGAAAGGAAACACAGCACACCAATATAGATAATTGTCAAATCACAAAAGAAGATAGGATGACAACCAAAAGAATTACAAAACAGTGACAGACAAAATGAATAACATAGTAATAGCAAGTATTATATATCAATATTTACTTTAAATGTAAGTGATCCAAATTAGATAATTTAAATTATCTAAACAAAAGTTATAGAGTGACTGAATAGATATTTTTAAGAAAATCAAGACACAGCTATATGTTGCTTAGAAGAGATTCACCTCAGTTTAAATACACACATATGCTGAAAGTAAAAGGCTAGAAAAATGAATTTTATGCAAATGAAAACCATAATAGAGAAGGAATAACTATACTAGTATCAGTTCAAAAAGCCTTTCACTTAAAAAACTGTAACAAGACACAAAGAAGGGCTTTATATAATAATAAAGGGGTCAATTCATCAAGAGAATAAGCAATTATAAATATATATGTACCTAACAGAGGAGCATCAAAAATGTAAGGCAACTATTAGCAGATCTGAAGGGAAAAATAAACAGCAATATGATAATAGCAGAGCACTTCAATACCCCACTTTTGATAATGTATAGATCATCTAGACAAAAAAATCAATAAGAAAACATTAGACTTGAACTACATATTAGACCAAATGTATCTAGCAGATATATACAAAATATATCATACAAAAGAAGGAGAATATGCATTCTTCTCAAGAGCATAAAACATTCTCCAGTATACAGTACATATATATTTGAACACAAAACAGTCTCAACATATTTTAGAAGACGAAAATAATATCAATTATAGCTTCCAATGACAATGGGTATAAAAAAGAAACCAATAACAGAAGAAAAACTAAAAAAATTATACATATATGAAAATTAAAAAGCATATTTGAATTAATAACCAATGGGCAAAGAAGTAATCTGAAAAGGTCAACTGAGGCAAGGTGGGCCGGAGTCATTGCTGGGGCCGTGGAAATAATGCAAAATTGCAACCAAGTAAGAAAGTAGAAAGAAGTGAGATTTTGTATTCACCTTTCACAGATTGGAAAGGGGCCAACACTCAGAGCCATGTGTGGCCTTGAAGGGCCATGAAATGGCTATATTTAAGGGCTTTTGGGTAGGGGGATTGGAGTGTCCAGGGCTGTGGGTCTTTGATGTTGACTGTAGTCACATGAGTCTTATATCTTGAGATCATCGCCAGTCATGAGCTTCTCATGCCCTCAGGTGGTAGGTTAGATGGAAAGAGACAAGGAGAGGGGGTTTTCCTCTAAGAGACTTGTTAGACATTTGCAATCCACAAACTCCTTGACCAAAAAGGTGGTTTATTATCATTTTTATGGCTTTGGCCAGCCAAGGGGTGATCTTTGACCTTCCACTTTGACAAGGAACTGAAAGCTTACTAGAGAATATTGTGCTGAATCATGAATTGAAAGTTTGTGCAGTCCTACATCTGATGCATACTTGCCAAGGGGCTGAGTAGGCTGCCACTTAGCCTGCAGTAGGATGTCTAAATGCTTCCTAAAACTTGCCTATTGGAAATTTATCTATATCTGACCTGTGCTGGATTCATAATGTGTCAGGGTAAAGTCTAAGCAAAAATGGTTATACTGAGACAAAAGACTATGCTAAACTAAGTTTATTTTAGGTTTCTGTAGGAACCACCTTTCATAATCAAAACAGAAAATTTTTAAAATCTGGAAACAAATTAAAAAGAAAACACAACTTACCAAAACTATGGAGTACAGCAAAAACAGTGTTAAGAGGGAACTTTGAAGTGATAAACACCTACATGAAGAAAAAAAGAAAGATATGAAAAAGGAAAAAAGTAACGTTAAGCCTCAAGGAAATATATGTTAAAAAATTGAGCCAAAAGTTAACAGTGTAAAGGAAATAAAAGAAGATTGTAGCATTAATAAATAATATAGAGTAGAAAAAATAAGGATGAATAAAAGGAAGATATTATAAAGATATAAATTTATAAACCTTTAACTCAACTAATAAAAGAGAGAGGGAGAGAGAAAGAGAAGGCTCAAATAGACAAAATCAGTAATGAGAGAGGGGGCATTACAACTGATACAACAGAAATAAAAAAATCATAAAGGGTTATGAACAATTATGTGACAAAAAAATTGATAACCAAGAAAAATACAGATATCTTCTTAGACAATTTTCCAAGGCTGAATAATGAAGAGAGACAAAATCTACATGGATCAATAATTAGCAAAGAAATTAAGGCAAACATTAACCTCCACTACTCCCCCCAAAATGCCCAGAATCAAAAGACTTAGTTGATAAATTTTATCAAGCATTTACAGAAGAATTAATAGCAACCTTTCTCAAACTCTGTCAATAAACTGAGGAGAGAAGAATAATGTCAAGCTCATTTTATGAGGTCATCATTGTCCTGATCCCAAAGACAATTAAGGGCAAGAGGAAAAAAAAAAAAAAAAAAAAAGACCTATATCTCTGCTAAAAGACAGGCAAAAATCTTCAACAAAATACTTTCCAACTAAACTTGTGTGTGTGTGTGTGTGTGTGTGTGTGTGTGTGTGTGTGTTACTAGCTATGTGCTAGTAGTATTTTTCTTTTTTAAAAATTTTATTTTAAATATGTGGGGTATAATTCAGGATTAAGTAGAAAAGTGGATATCGCACAGGTAAAGTCTGGGCCTCCTTTTGGTCCCCTTTTTACGTGGTTTGAGATCAAGTACCCTTATTGATGTTATGTGCCTCCCCCTTCTTGGCAGTTTCCCTGCTACTGCCAAACCCTTTCTTACAGTATTATGATAAATGTTCAGAGACTGCTTATAATATAAGTGAGAACAGGTGGTACTCAGTTCTTTGTTTCTGTGGTAGATCACTGAGTATGATAGACTCTAAATCTATTCAGCTGAATTCAACAGCATGTTAGAAAGATTATATGCCGTGAACAAGTGTGGTTTATCTCTGACATGTAAGCATGGTTCTACCACATAAATTAATAAATGAGTCATATAGCTTTAACAAAATGAAAAATAAAAATCATACGATCACCTCTAGATACAGAAAAATGTATTTGACAAAATTCAACATATTTTATTGATTAAAACTCTGAAAAAAATAGGTGTAGAAGTAGATACCTCAACATGATACAGATCATATAAAGACCAGCCTGAAGAACATCATATTCAGCCCGGCTTGGTGGCTCAGCCTGTAATCCCATGCTTTTGGGAGGCTGAGGTGAGTGGATTGCCTGAGCCCGCGGGTTCGAGACCCACCGGGGCAACCTTGGCGAGACCTCATCTCTACAATAAATCAAAAAAATTAGGCGGGCATGGTAGCGCACGCCTGTAGTTCCAGCTACTTGGAAGGCTGAGGCTAAAGGATTGCCGGAGCCCAGCAGATCGAGGCTGCGGTGGCCAGAAGTGGTCACTGCACTCCAGTCTGGGCGACAGAGTGAGACTCCAACTCAGAAAAAAAAAAGAAAAAGAAAAAGAACATCATACTCAATGGTGAAAAGCTGAAAACTTTTAAAAATTTTATTTATTTATATTAATGATCAGGAACCAAGCAAGGATGACCACTCTTTCTACTTCTAGCTAATATGGTACTGAAAGTCATAATGCAATTCGGAAAGGAAAACTATAGATATCCAAATAAAAAGGAGATGTTGGACCCAAACTGAGGAACCCGGAGCTGCCGCCAGGGGATCGGGGCCGCGGGCACCCAGGGGAGCCGCTGCCCGGGCCGCCCGCCCTCCGTCCAGACCGCCTCCCTTCCCGGCTCGGGAGGAAACAGGAGGGGGGATGTGAACAGCTGCGGGAGTCAGAGTCTCGGGAGCCGGAGCGGGCCCCCGCCCAGGCCCCCCAGCCCAGCCCAGCCCACGTGCCCACCGGTCCTCCTGCCCAGCCAGCCCGGGCACGCGGGATTGTTAGATGGAACACTGCTCCAACATCACCCAGGCGCGGAGGGAGGACGCCCTGGTGCTCACCAAACAAGGCCTGGTCTCCGAGTCCTCCCCCAAGAAGCCCCAGGGACGGAGCATCTTCAAGGCCCTTTTCTGCTGTTTTCGTGCCCAGCATGTTGGACAGTCAAGCTCCTCCGCTGAGCTCGCGGCGTACAAGGAGGAAGCCAACACCACTGCTAAGTCGGACCTGCTCCCATGTCTCCAGTGCCAATTTTATCAGATCCCGGGGACCTGCCTGCCCCCAGAGATGACAGAGGAAGATCAGGGAAGGATCTGTGTGGTCATACAGGTCATCGACCTGTATGAAACCCTCGTGCACAGCTCCTTAAAGCCAATCAACAACGGTGACTTCACAGTGCCTGTAGAAATTGAGGGGGCCATGCACCAGGTGTACGTGCTCAAGAAGCCTGACATGGATGAGTTCCTGAGACGGATGGGGGAACTCTTCGAGTGTGTTCTCTTCGCTGCCAGCCTGGCCAAGCATGCCGACGCCGGCACGGATCTGCTGGACCGCTGCGGGATGTTTCGGGATCGCCTGTTCCGGGAGTCCTGTGTGTTTCACCAAGGCTGCTACGTCAAGGACCTCAGTCATCTGGGCAGGGACCTGAGGAAGACGCTCATCCTGGATAACTCGCCTACTTCACACATTTTCCACCCGGAAAATGCAGTGCGTGCAGTCCTGGTTTGATGACATGGCAGATACCGAGTTGCTGAACCTGATCCCCATCTTTGTGCAGAGCGAATGATGTCTACACCAGCCTCGGGCAGCTGCGGGCCCCTTAGCCTTCCCTGCTTCCAAGCAACGGCCATCCCGGTATGGGACGTTTCTATACTGTGCCTTTATGACCAGCCTGGCAGAGTGAAAGCTGGCACACCCCACCTGAAGGTCCGGAATAGTGGGAAGTGATTGGAAAAGAGTTTTAGGACAGGTCAGATGCCCAGTCGGCGAATGGCAGACCAACGATACCCAACGCTGGCTGCCCCTGAGTTGCCTGTTCCCGAGACATGTGAGAATGTGTGTGTGTTGCCGTGAACTGTGGTCCCAGCATAGTGTTTCAGCAGGGGATAAGCTGGAAGTCAAGACTCTGCCCAAGTTCATCTGTCACCCTAAGAGCCACTGAGCTCTATGGGGGATGAAGACTATCAAAGGCTCATTGCCAAACCACGGCCTTTTCTCAGTGTTAAGGACTTTGCCAAGCGGTCAGCAGCTGCCTCTGGGTGTCCGGGCGCACCCTTTCTGAGATCGTTCTCCAGCTGGCTGCTGCAGACAGAAAGGTGACATTTCTGGGAAGATGACAACTCGTGTCCAAACCAGTACTCCAGTGGCCACCAGGTCCTGTGGTCCAGAGGCTGTGCTTACCTCCAGCTGTGTGCCTGCGTGGGCCCTTTCTGTGTCTCCCCAGGGTTGGGTCTGGGCCTGCTTTCCTCACTATCCAGCCATAGTCTTGAGCCTGTGGGGAAGGAGGTCTCCTCCCTGCCCTGGAAGATGCAGATAACTGATTTCTGTTCTCTTGACTCTGTTTTAAAATTCTCTTTCTAAACACGGTGTGTCGGGCCTGGTTTGTTTCTGACAGAGCTGCAGTCCCGGGCCTGAGGTGCCTGGGAGGTGCTGGGTACAGGGAAGAGGAAACCTGCCCAGTGAGAATGTGCTATCTCTGGGCCTGCAGTCAGCTGGGCTTGCATCTCGACAGTTTGCTCTTCAGGGATTCTCCACTGTTGTTGGTGCAAGGACTTCTGTTCCAGAGGCTGGAAGCCACCCAGCCCCTCCCGCTTCTCGGGCAGGCTTTTTCCTGTCGAGTCTTCTCAGCCTGTCCTGTACCCAGCTCTGTCTGTCGCAGCCCTCGCCCTTCCTGGCTGGCACCCTTCCTCTCCAGGGCCTCAGACCTGCTTGTTCTGTGATGGGGGGGCGAGTGTTCTTGTTGCTTGCGTGCTTCTTGCCTTTGCTGTCAGGTGTGAGTGGGCCCCGTGCACACCTCCACTCCAAGTGTCTTTTGCTTTCAAAGGTTTCAAACAGTGCATGCTTTAAAGAACCATCACAAAACGGGTGTTTCCCTGGAGTAGGAAACAGAGGAGGAGTGCTGCTGTCATTGGGAGCACAGGGATCTCACTGAAGGGAGCCCCACTTTACTGTCACTGCCTCAATCCTGGCCTCCCCCAGGGTGGGGTGGGGTTCCCTCCTCCATCCCTTACCTTCTGGGACAGGAGGAAGCTCCTGTCCCCCTCTCTGTTCTCCCTGGAGGCAGGTGCCACAGAGCATGGTGAATTGCTTCAGGTACAGGGACACCACCCACTCAGGACTTGCCCCGGTAGCACTTCCAGTTTCCTCACGCTAGGTCCAGCCTCAGGAACTCGCCAGTTTCAAGACAACCAGGTGGTAGGGCCGCAGCGTGGTGTTCTGAGGGGCAGCTGGGTGGGAAGTGGAACGGAGTTCTCAGAGATCATGCAGGCATTTCCCCGGTGGTGTCGATGCCTATGGGGTCCTGCTGCTGGTAAAGGAGAGGGCCCCGGATGCCAGCCAGGAGCCCCATCTCCTATAGAAAGGTGGGAGCCAGGCCAACCTGGCTTCAGATCCAGCCCTGGCCTAGGCCACCATCCTATTATTGCAGGAGGGGCTTCTCTTCCAAGTCCCGGCCAAAGGATTAGCCCTTGGCTGAGTCTTGGGCCACCTGGGCCCAGCCTAGCTTTTCTGACTAAATAAGCAATAAGAGAGTTTGAGTTGGTTGAGTTCCCAGGTTCTTCTCCCACCTTGAATCTCCATGTTTTTCAAGGTGGAGGGAAAGCATGTGCCACCCCCTCCTAACAGGCTTGTCCGAGTGTACGGAGTGTGACCTGCGACCAAACCCAGGGCAGTGTGGTGGGAGGATCCCCAGCCACCCATGACCAAGCCCAAGGCAGTGTGGCGGCAGGGTTCCCTCTGTGTCTGCAAGAAGTCCCTGCTTTACGGGCCTCCCTCACAAAGCCTGCCTGCCTGCCACTCTCCCCAAGAAATGCCCTTCCCTCCTCCCCTCTCCTTCCTTCCCCAGAGAAGCAAGTCGGCCAAATCTAAATAGTGTCCATCCACAGGGACCAGAGCCAGCCTCTTCATTCTCTGCTGTCCGGCTTCCAATGTCACAGCATATGAGGGGCAAGTGGCACTGGTGATTGTAAAACTTCCTCCTCAGAGGAGTCAGGCTGACTCTGTTTTGGAGGAGGGCAACTTGGGAGGGAGCCCATCCCTCTGGACTCTTTTCTGGGGCTTCCCACCAGCCCTTGCCATTTGAGCCTGGTCTCTGGAAGGTGACAGGCTGCTGTGTCCAGCCAGCCCCCACTCAAGCCATGTCAGGAATCTTCCCCCCTGCCAGGTTCAGTTCTTTAAGGTGCCTCTTCAGGGCCACAGTGTGCCTCTCTGATTGGGCTTCTAAATCAAAAGCCTAATGTTCGTGTCCCTCTCATAGGGGAAGTGTGGACACAGGACCAGTCTGGAAAAGGGTCAGGTAAGTGTTTCCACTCTGCACATTGTAGAGTGGATGCTCTGTAGGCCCCCAGTCCCTTACTAGAGAGGTTGAGTAAATCCACTTTCAGTTAGCCTGGGGCCTTTATTAGCTCCCTCCCACCTCCCAAAGATTTGAACCATTTTGTGAGGAATAAGCTCATCTCATAACATTGGCCCTAAAAGCATGGGAAGTCCACGGGCAGCCATTCGCTGGGCAATGGGTCCCATTCTATCCTGCTGCCCCTACCTTGCTCCTGAGGCTCACTTGGTAGGGCAAGTCCCCCTGTAGGGCTGCCCGTCCTCCAGTGTCCCAGCCAGGCCAAGTGATGAGAAAGGTAAATCCATTTCCCCTTCAGGTCTTCAGTTGATTGCTCAACCACTGCCATCCCTCAGTTATCTTTTTTGTAAACAGGGTTTTTTTTTCCTCCAATGCCAGTAAATACCTAATTCAACCAGGGGAGAGGTAGTCAGAGGTCTGGGCCAGCTGCCCCGTTCCTTTAAAGCTGTGGGACCTGTCCCCGAGGTCCATGCTCTGCTGGACCTCGTGAGCTTTTTTACTTGTATTGACCCCGAGTGTGACACGTCCCATCTCGAGCTGCTTGCCCCTTCATGATGCCATTTGGAGGGTAGGGATCTGCTTCCCACTGTGACTGAGCTGAAGGATTCTGACCATCTTGCTTACAGATTCATGGTTTGATACATTTGTTGTATGCAAAAACTTGAAATGTAGGACGTCATTAAGTGTCTGTTTATATTTTTGGAATATTGATATTACTTACAATTAATTAATAAAAGTGGGATTTAAAAAGAAAAAAAAGAAGTGAAATTATTTTTGTTTAGAGATGGCATAGATTATGTAGAAAACCCTAAACCCTTCATCAAAACAAATATTTAAAATAATAAATTCAGTAAAGTTGCAGAATACCAAATTAACATATAACAGTCAGTAGTTTTTCTATGCACTGATAACAAGATATTGGAAAAAGAAATTAAGAAAACAATATCATTACTTAGTTGTAATGTAACCAAGGAAGTTAAAGACTTCTGCACTTAAAATAATGAGTACTTGATAAAAATTGAAATATATCTTGTATTCATTGATTTAAATAATTTATATTGATTTAAAAATTCATACTATCCCAACAATTTACAGATTCAGTACAATCCTTGTCAACATTTCAATGACATTTAAAAAAAATAGAAAAAACTATTGTAAAAAAAATGTATGAAGCCATTAAAAATAACAACTTTTTTAATGGAGGGAATGTGTCCTAACAGGTTTTAATAATATTATAAAGAGATTTATTTTGTTAAAAAACAATGGATAGTCACATAGATCAATGGAACAAGATAATGTACATTAATATGCATACTTATGTGCATACACACACACATATATATTTGTACATATCCATATATATATGGAATGAGGAAATTTTGTGTATGATAAAATTGATATTTCAAGTCAGCTAGAAAAATCATATTAATAAGTCATAGTAAGATAGCTAGGCATTCATTTGAAAAAAGTAAATTATTGTTATGGCATAAAAAATAGTAATTTTGGGCAAAAAGTACAAAGTTGTAGGCATTACACTTACCTATTTCAAATTATATTTTAAAGTTACAGAATCCAAAAAGTATGATATAAGCACAAAAAAAGACACATAGACTCAGAACAGAATCAAGAGGCCAGAAATAAACTCATACATATACCATCAACAGATTTTTAAGAAACATGCCAAGAATACATAACATGGAAAGTTTAACCTCTTTTCTAAATGGTATTTGAAAAACTGAATATCCACATACAAAAGAATGATATTTGACCTTCATCTTTTACTATACACAAAACCAACTCCAAATGCATTAAAGACTTAAGCATCAAACCTAAAGTTCTAAAACTTCTCAAAGGATATAAGGGATAGCTCCTTGGCATTGGTCTTAACAGTGACTCTGTTTTGATACCAAAAACTCAGGGAACAGAAGCAAAAATAAACAAGTGAGACTATATCAAACTGAAATGTTTCTGCAAAGCAAAAAAAAAAAAACAATCAAGAAAATGGAAAGGAGCCTATGGAATAAAATGAATATTTAGAAACCATATATCTGATATGATATTAATATGTAAAATATAAAAGGAATTCATACAGCTCAACTTAAAAATCTACAAAAATTTGGCAAAGAGATCAAGTAGACATTTTTCTTAAGAACACATA